CTTTCAAATGCATTCACCAAACATATGAAGCTCCCTTACACTGAGTCAACCATTAGGCAACTTATAGCAGTTCAGTGTGCCTGATTTACCTGCCTGCCTGGCTAGGGTTGCCAGGCAATGGCAATCAGGGAGCGGGGACACCATAATCACTTCTTTGGAAACTCTATGGTTTCCCCAAAGAAGTAACATCAATCCTCTCTGGGAATCACTGAAACCCTCTCTAGGAATCCAATGATTCCTAGAGTGATGTGATGTCACTTCTGGGTGATGATTTTTGTTAACATTTCTCCTGACTTCTAAAGGGATGGTGGTGGGAAGCATGGGTTTCCAGTGAGAGATCACCCACCATAGCAGGCAAACCTATGCCCAGTTCAGAATCCTTTCCTAAACCTTCCTCATCTGAAGTAAACCTTTCCTGTGTCCCCACTGTTGCTGCCAACACCCCCACATCTCAACAACAACAAAGAAGTTCAAATGATCTCTGACTAAGGAAAACAAACCATGGCATGTGATGAGGGAATACAGGTCTCTCAAGTAAACATATAACTGGCATTTCCAGTAATAGGATAAATGATGAGATCCCTGAAGGCAAATCTGATAATAGGGATGTTTAAATTAAGCTTACATTCTGTCACAGAATTACTAGGTGAATCCTTAAAATGAGAAAATGAAAGCTATCATCACAATAATGTGTGGTTAAGATAAATGTAACGCAAGGGCAGTGAATTTTCACATTTTACATAGCCATCGCCTGAGGTATAGTGCTAATCCCTGCTGAGCAACTAAATGTATGGGTGGAAACCATTAGGATCCGAAAGGGCATCTAATCTAGTCCCCCTTTTAGCAATTATTCCTTTTATCCTAAACTGGTTTATAGCACTACATGCCTTGGGCCTTAAAGATTCAGCTAGCCAAACCTCAGCATTAGAACAAGGCAAGTTGGCAGGAGCTTATTTACTTACAAAATTTCTCTCCAGTTAGAAAAGAAAATGGCTTTTCCCCCAATAAATTGGAGAGGCAGAAAAATCAGATCCAGAACAAAACAGGGAGCATATATTATTATTGTTTTAAAAATCTGCTCTATAACATCTGATGTATTGCTTCAAAAGCACTGCAGGCTAATTATTAGAAGTTACAGTGGAGAGGGAAAAGACATGGGGCTGCTACCTTGAGTAGATTCCAGAATTATGTCATAGTGATTGCTTCTTTTGAGCATATTCTGAGAATATATGGGGATCAGTGTTCCCTCTAAGCTGGGTTAGTGTGAGTTAGCTCACAGTTTTTAACCTCCAGCTCACACATTTTTGTCTTAGCTCAGGAAGGATGGCTCCAGAGCAAACTAAGTTACGCAGTAATGAAATCACTCACTCACAACTTTCATGCCAGTAGCTCACAAAGTAGAATTTTTGCTCACAAGACTCCATGGCTTAGAGGGAGCATTGATGGGGATATGCATTTTTCATTGTCTGGCTGACTGGCTAGCTTTCCAAGTGCTGTGAGAAAAAAATAACTGCATTTGTTAACACAGGTAATTGATAACTTTGGTAAGAAAGTAACAGTTTTCTAGTACTTTTTTGTATGACCTAGCCCACACACCTACCACAGCACATAGTTACCATCTCTATCTTTCCTACCAGGTTTCCAGTCAAACTCTTAAAACCAAGGAATAAACAAGAAGGTAAACAGTGCTTCAAAGATCTACAGTAGGGGTGTGCACTCGGTATATACAAAGCCAATACTGATATACCTTATCAGTATTTTTGGGTATTTATTCAGCCAAATCAGACTTTCTAATCTGATTTGGCTACTGATCTAGCTGAGCCTGAATAAAAGTCAATATTATTCAGCTTTTATCCGGTCTCAGCTTCACTAGCTGAAACAGTGCGAGTTCACCCACCTTCCAGGTGAAGTCGCGCTGCTTCTGGGTTTCTCATATGTGGCTTGGCTTTGCAAAATCCATTTAAAGAGAAAGTTAAAGAGAAAATTTTGATGCTGCCTCCCTAGGAACCTGTCTGAGGGGGGCTTACAAAATATAAAAGCTAAACATTAAGAGATATTAATTAAAACCCAGCATTAAAACCCAGACCAGCATAAAAACATAGATCACAGACCACTGATGGCTTAAAATAACAGTTCCTAAGACTAAAAGTGTCAGAATTTTGTTGTTGTTGTTCAGTTGCACAGTCGAATCCAACTCTTCGCGACCCCATGGACCACATCATGCCAGGCCCTCCTCTCTTCCGCCATCCTCCAGAGTTTGCTCAATTTCATGTTTGTTGCATCGATAACACTGTCTAACCATCTCATCCTTTGCCGTCCCCTTCTTTTACCTTCTATTGTTATAAATAGCAACCTCTTAATTAAAAGCCTGGGAGAACAGAAACGTTTTGCCCTTGCAACTAACAGAAAGAAACATAGGTGGCCAGGCAAGCTCCAAGGGGAGCTGCATTCTATAACTGAGGGCCATTACTGAGAAAGCCCAGTCTCTAGTTGCCACCTGCCTCACCTCTGAAGGTGAGACAGCACAGAGAGCAGAGCTTGTTAGGCAGCTCTTAACTGGTGGGCTGGACAATCTGGGAGGTGGCGGCCCTTCAAGTTCCCCGGCACTGAGCCATTTAGGGTTTCAAAGACGAGAACCAGCACTTTGAATTATGCAAACTAGTTTACATATTTTATTAACTTCTGCCAACAGTCCTATAAAAAAGTAGATGGTCTCATTTTGCAGGTGAAGGCCAGAAGATAAGGGCTGAATGGGGTGCCCATGGCAGAGCGTACTTTTGAATGTTTAAGTAATCGTAAGTCCAGCTTCAACCTCACAGTGCTTTATACAATATAAAAGATATGATCAGGACTGTCCAACAGATGCCTTATAAAACTTCATAGGATTTTAGTTTATAGTTGTCCTTGAACACTGTCATCTTCCTACAGTAACTGCAACTTCTCTTGACCCACTTTGTAAAATGTCACTTTTCCCTTAATAGCACATTTATTTCCTAGCTGTACTTAAAGGCCTTCTCATCTTCATCTTTTTTTAAAACCAACTATTATGGATTCTGAACATCTTCCAATTTTCCTATACAAACTGTATATCACTAAACACATTGCATTATCCAGTAACTATGGTCTGAGTGAAGAAATGCCATTTTTTGCATTGGAGGTTTGAGATGAGCAAAACCGTCACTCTGAGTTTAATATTTCCCCCCCTCTCTGGGCAGAGAGCAGGCAGGAAGGGGAGAGGTCAGTTCAACTGCTTTCCAGATGTACCTCAGCCCACCTTTATACAAATGCCAATATATCTAAGCAGGAGAGATAATGGGTCAAGCTCCCCCCTCCTCTTCAAGCAGGGAACAGATTTGGAGAAATTAAATACTAGAGAGACTTCAGGAAGGAAAATTCTGAAGGCTTCAGTAAAAGTTTCTTTTTTGACCCAGACTGACCTGTTCAGTGGGTGGAGAAAACTCCTTGCAGCAAGGAAGAAGGGCTCTTTTGTGCTGAGTCCATCAGAGCAGGCAGAACTCTTAATTGAGGTCTGGAGGAGACAGTCATTTAAATATGTGCTGTCATGGAGAGCTGGAGGAAGCTTTAAGGTAATTGTTACTCTGTAGAGATCTATAACATCCTAAACTAAGGAGCCTTTCCTATATTTTAACATCTGATAGGCACGTATAGAGAGAGTGACAGAGGAATTGTTTTTTTTACCCATTTCTTTTGAATCCCTTGCTCAATCTGGTGCCGTGCTAAAAGTATGCTTGTGAACATTTTCTTTTTAATAAATACTTTATAACTTTGGATGCTAGTAGTAGTTCTCTGTACCACATAGACCTGCACAGTCTTGGACATGCTATTTTAAAAGGAGTGCCAGGGAGTAGGCCAGCAGCTGGCAAGTGGCTATTCTTTCAGGGGAGCACAAGGCAGTAAACTGCCCCTGTGGTGATCAAACACTAGGCAGAGGGAGACACAAGGCAAGGCCTCAGAACCTGGAAGGGAAGCTGAGAGTCCTGACCCCTCCCAGTGGGCAATTCCTACAATGGTCAGGTGTTGACAGTGGGTTACCAGAGAGAGAGAAAAGCCTCTCCAGGTATTGGGAACCATGGAGGGCAGGGTGGAACAGGGCCTGCAGGCCAGAGCAGGTCTGTTCCACCACAATTTGGTGGCATGGTGGGATAAGGACAAACAGAGAACTTGATTCGCCAGGAAATGTGAATGTGGCATGTACACGTGCAGAGAGAGCAACAGAAGGTTTTTTTTGGGGGGGGGTTGTTCATTTTTTGGGCAGGTTGTATTTCTTATATGTGTGTGTGAGAGAGAGATAGTGTATGTGCACCTGGAATTCATGGCAACCTCTGGTTACTGGTGACTGACTTTGTGTGCACCTGGAAGTGACAGCAATCTCTGGTGACTGACCCCTACTGGAAGCCTAGAGGATATTCAGAGAGGTGGTTGAATAAAGCCTGTCCCTGCCTCCCACCTTTGGTATTCCAAGGAGGTCTCCCATCCAAGTACTTACCAGAGTTGACCCTGCTTAGCTTCTGAGAACTGACAAGATTGGACTTGCCTGGGCTATTCAGGTCAGGGCTTTTGTTGTTGTTTTCAACTTATCTGACATATCAACAACCACGCTTTCTCTCTCTCATATACACACCAATGTTCCCTCTAAGCTCTGGAGTCTTGTGAGCAAAAATTCTCCTTTGTGAGCGACTGACATGAAAGTTATGAGCGAGGGATCTGGCTCCTGCATCAATCAGTTTGTTCTGGAGCCATCCTTCCTGAGCAAAGACAAAAATGTGTGAGCCGGAGGCTTAAAAACTGTGAGCTAGCTCACACTAACTCAGCTTAGAGGGAACACTGATACACACCCTCTTTTGCTGTGGCTATTATCAGTGCCCTAAAAGTAGCAGTCCACTTATGTTTGGCAAGTTGTGGGAGTAGGGACTGAAGACCACTCAGGACCAAATACACTTCCAGAAGAGTGGCTTTGAGTGGGGAGATCATCTGCTTACCTCACACTTCTCCACTGCCGGCTGTTGTCCGCACTCAGAGCTGTTCCCTGCCACGATGCCAGCCCGCAGGCTCTCACTGTCACCAGTCCCCTCCTCCATGGAATAAGTTTTTGAGTGATTTCCACGACGATGGGACAAGCTCCGGCTCTGCACCAGACTGAGCTGTTTGCGAAGTGCCCGGTTTTCCTCTTCCACTTCCCGCATGCGTACTTCCAGGCTCTCTCTTTCTCGTTGACTTGTGGCTGTGTAGCGAGGGCTGTGGGGCTGAGATTCAATTGGAGACAGTGACACTGGCTTCCCATCTGCAGGGGGAGGGGGGAACAACAGATATTTATTGGCTCAGTTTAAAATTTATGCTCCAGATAAGCAAAGAGAAACTTTACCCTCCATTAGCTTCCAAAACATGTTCATGATGCTTTTGCCCCCTTCCTCTTACACCAAAGACTATACACAAAGAATGCAAAGATTATACACAAAGAATGCAAACCTGCTGCAGTTCTGGCTCCATGTTCAAGCCCTTTGGCAAAATAAAGACACAGAAACCATGTGGAAGAACTATGTGGGAAGAATCACATCAACACCTGAAAATGTATGAGGAAGAGATGAGTGATCATCTCACCTCATCCTCCCTTCCCATATAGTTTCTACCTGATAGGAGAGGTGTTACATGAAGTAACAGGGAACAGCAACCACAAAATTCCTGTGACTTATGTCTCAGTCAAGAGTGGTACTTTCATTCAGACCAGCAACTATTCTGCCAATATAAATCAGAAGTGTGATGAACGTATTGACTTTCTCTGGAAGCGATGACTCATGAAAATAACAATTTCTATCTAGCTCCAACATGACAGATTTCTTCCATATTTTTTATCCTCCCTTTAATCCAAGAAGCTGTTCATTATTCTCCATTTTGTCCTCACAACAACCTTGTGAGGCAGGTTAAGCTGTGAGAGAATGATGGCTCACCTGGCCTTCATAGGGTGATGGTGAGGGATGACAAATATAATTGTCATCTTCCACTAGACACCTGGCTTGAAATTGGTTATTTAGGCCAAATACCCACATTTTGCAAACTCATCTTAATGCCTCCTACACAGATTCTAAGAAGTGCTTGCAATGTTATATATTAGAAAACCTGCATCTGGAGAAATCTTCCACTGTTCCTTTAATTCTCTGTATTCAAAAATTAAAGAGGCTGAGGATAAAGAATGGACAGGATCTCTTTCTTATAGCTGCCTACTTTATTCCAGATACACACATTGTACCATGTATAATGGCAGGGACAGATGTTAACACTCAAACACCCATTGCATTCTACCTGTTTTCCATCAGAGGGGAATTAATACCATGGTTGGGGTGAACATGCAATGTGAGAAATAGCCTGGAGAAGTTCTGCTTTCGGACTCCATTGAACTTAAAGAAAAGGAGGAATAAAATGTACTGTTGAACTGTGCTTAAGTATATTTGATGCCAGTCAGTTACATAAGACGTAGCTGTAGGAATAAGATGCTGCCTTTTTCAACTATTTAAATTTCAAAATGGAGGCAGCTAAGAGATCAGTGAAAAGCTCCACCAGTTGTGTACCTTCTGACATATAAAGCCCTCATTTGTAGATGGGAGCTTGGAATCTGTGTCGGATGCATGAACATAAGGAGGCGCAAAACTTGCAAAATGCTGGTATTTGGCCTAGCTATTTAGTTTCAAGCCAGGTGTTATACTTTTTTAAAAGTCTACAAGATAAGAGGTTATTGCTTGCACTGACTTCAAAGACATTCAATGACTATTCAGTTCAAGTAGATACTTAGTCAAACACTGTTCTTGCTATAGATGTGTTACAAAGGAGGGAAGGGATCAATGTTCCCTCTAAGCTGTGGACTCTCGTGAGCAAAAATTTTACTTTGTGAGCTACTAGCATTAAAGTTGTGAGCGAGCGATTTGGCTACTGCATAAATTGGTTTGCTCTGGAGCCCTCCATCCTGAGCTAAGACAAAAATGTGTGAGCCGGAGACCAAAAAACTGTGAGCTAGGTCACACTAACTCAGCTTAGAGGGAACACTGGAGGGGATCTGTTAAAAAATGGCATGAAATGGCTAAATATAGTCATATTCCGTTCCCAATATTCCTCTGTCATCTGATCATGACACATCAAGGCTTCGGGAGACACACCCATGTGTACCAAGCAATTCTTACAACTGATATATCATACAAGGGACCAATTAACATTGCTGAAGAAGCAACTAACCTAGATATGTAATTAGATGAAATGTACCCAGAGGATGGTGATTATGTTGCCTTTTCCAGGTGTGTTATTGCCCATGAGGGTTTAGAAAGAAGAATCTAGTCTGTTCACAAAGAACAACTATGCCCATGTTGTGTGTGCATGCATGTTAAATAGAGCAATATCATCAGTGCAAATGTTTCAGAAGGGAATATAAAGCACATCTCTTCTATTAAAAAACAAAACAAAAAACCCTCTCTACTAAAACTGAAAACCAAATGAGGACTTGGAAAGCTTTTGCAGCATATTAAGATTGTTTTATTTCTGGTATGAAGACTCATCTGTGGACACAATAAATGAACTGGCAAAACGCTATAAAGACTGAAAAAACAAACAAAACACTCAACAGCAAATTTGGAGCTCTGGCATAATACTATGAGAGTTCTTGAGGAAACAGAAAACGCTATGCAGCAGTGAGAACATGCAATCTGTAGATCACATGGAAACCAACTTCTCTTTTCCATGGATCTTCTAGATATCAATACTCCAAGGAAAGAATCTATACCTTTGGTTTATTAATTAAAATATTATACCTTACTTTCTAATTGAAACTTTCCAAAAGAGGCCTAACATATATGGGAAATAAACAAGCAAAATCCAACAATCTAAAATAAAAAGTCCACAGAATACACTGTAAACATAAAGCAGAGGAAGAAATCAGTCACAGGAATTTAAAAGCAGCAGGGGTCAAACAAAAACAACTACCACAACCATACTTACAGTGCTCTTTAAAAAACAAAAACAAAAACCAACCAGCAGCAACAACTCTATTTTGAGTCAGTGTTGGAATACCATCAAAGATCGGGCAAGATTAATTCTGCTGGGGAGGAAACTTTTGGCACCACACCTGAGAAGAACAAGGGTGTGGACACACTAGGAAGGCTTTTGAGAACAATCTCAATATGCACATAGGTTCATATGGCAGTATATAATCTCTTAAGGATCCTGAGCCCGGACCATTTAAGATTTTAATAGGTTAAAAGCAACACTTCAGTGTTTGAGCTGAGTAACTTGAGGTTTTTCCACAGAAGTCCACAATAAAAATACAAGCAAAGAAATGTCACTTACCAACCACCATTGGAGTAGGCACCCTCCTTTGTCCATACTAACAAGGTTAACCTTAGGATATTAATCTTTCTAAGGTATAGCATCACTCATGATAGGGGACTGAGCTGAAAGTAGTTTGTGAGTATTTTGGACAGTGTCAAATCCCCCCCCCCCTCATTTCAGGTGATTTTTTTTCTCATAGTGTTTGCCTGTTCAAGCAGCAATGTCTTGATTCTCCATTTGCCATCAATATGTGGCCAAATCTGATAGCTTCCTTGCTCATTAAGTAATTTCAGATTGCAAGAAACTGTTCTAATAATAAATCCAGGAAGATGATAATGCAGGGTAAGGAAAAAGCAGACATTTGATTTTTAAATCATATTTTTTCTCCCATGCCCCAAAAATTGAAACAGAAGAACATACACTAAAGGTGATACTCATGATACATTTCATGTGAAGATTCCCCTGGGTTAAAATGTATTATTCTAGAGCTCAAGTTTTGGAAAGGGAAAATCGCCATGAACCATGATTTCCACACCATAAGGATTATGAAAGACCTCATGCAAGTACAACCCATGAAGTACATAATGACAACACCATCAAAAGGACACATACAGGATTTACAATAGGGAAAGGGTTGAGTTGAAGAAAAAATCTCCATTTGGGAACACAGACTCATCATTTCAGATTTTGTTTGGCTGCCAATCCCACCACCTACGAATTCTTGGCTCCAAAGCTGTTCATATGAATGTCAGTGACTCAAAGGAAGCTGGGTTTTGCTAACCATTTGATCCTTTAATGCCTGTGTCTCCATGCACTGATCACAGGCCTTGCTATGACCCTTATTCCCACACCGACTGAAAATTTTATATCCCCATGTCCTTCTGTAAGTTTATAAGTTGCTCCAAAATAACAACAGCTGGAATTAGAGAATGTAGCCTGATGAGCTGTTTTGACAGCAGCCTATAGAACTGTTGAATGAAGCTGAGCAATTTTCTCCAGATGTCTGCACTGTAAACAAAGCAATCCTCTCTCTCTCATATATGTAAACCTCTGGAAATACTTGCAAACGTAGGGGGAAGAAGGAAGAGTATGAACCCAGTTTAATTCCTTCTCTCTAAAAACTGGTGTCTTAGTGTAACATCCACAGATGCAAGTTCAGGTCTTCTGAAGTTGTCTTAATCAAAACTTAAAGCACTGGCAGCAACAAAGACATGCCAGATCATATGAAGGTCCTTTGCTGCCACTACAAATTAGATTAAACACAGAGCTTTTTTTTCAGCATGCATCACACCAGTTAACCAATGAGTATTTCTGGCTGCTCCAACGTCAAGCCCCACTTCAACAAAGCAATTAAGGAAGTGCTCTAGTTTGAGAAACAACAATAAAGAAATGTACACAAGATCTATGGAAGACTATTATTTATACGATGCCATGAATGGATGCATGAATGGGTTCCCTGGAGTACAGGGAAAACAGTGCAAAGGGAGGGGAGCAATGTGAGGTAAGGAAGACGTTGAAAGCATTACTTGTTGGACTGGTGTTTTTGGTATAAACTCTAGTTCCCATTTCAACAGGCTTCCCAGCTAACACATTGCTCCCTCCTACGATTTGATATTTGATGGTACATACAGTTGGCACAATTATTGACAGAACATTGGGAAACCATTATGCACATGCTCAAACAAAGCTACGGGATTATAAAATACTGATCTATTGACAACAATAACCAAACTGGCTTTGACTATAAAGTGACTAGGATTGCAACTATTATCAGCACAAACCAATTAACGCGTTTGAACATGTTCTTCTCTAACTGGCTTTAAGTAAACAATGGTCCCATTCACACTAGGCAATTTGGCCGGGGAGCAGGACAGTTCGGGGGCGGATCAAACCGGCGCGATCACACCACAACATCTGGGAAGCGTCGTGCTTCCGCCTCTGAACTGGCCCTTCTCGGGAAAAAGTGCCTCAAGT